AGTCAAACCTGATCATTCCACAGTTGTCTGTTGTCTCTGATTTCAAAAATGAGCATTCATGTTGTAAACAGTGGGTCTGTATTACTAGCCCGGTCACCATACAGAAATAAAACTCTTAAGAAGTTTTGCTGGAACATTTGACTCACAGGAAGCAAGTAAAAGTGAAACCTGATTCAGCTACAGCTAAATCAGTGACTTGTTCTTCTCACTCTGGGTTTATTTTCACAGGTTTTTGTTGGTTTTTTTTCAGCTGAGTAGCATTCATCTGGAAGTACAGTTCATGAAACTGTCTTATCAGACCAAGCTGTATCAGGTGTAAAGATTCTTATACATCACAACCTGACTGTAGCAAAAATGTTTAAAGGAGAAAAGAACTGTGGAGGCTTTTCATACATGATAATCAGAATCTGAACAAATAGTTTTGTTGCAAACTCTTTTGAGTCTTTCAGATTAGTTTTATTATGGACTTGCATGGTGTTAATAATCCTGGAAGTTAAGGTGACTGTGTAATTTAATTACAAAGAAAAAATTATAGCAAAGGAACTCAAATGTGTCTTCTGTTGTGTAAGGCTGAAGACTGATGGTCCCGCATTCTTGGTGCTACTTTTCCAATATATATTTTGAGATGCTAGTGATATCAAAGGCTGTTTTTACAGTGAAATTTAACCTAATCACGTTAAACAATTTTTGTGCCCTATCTGAGATAATCAGTGTCTACATGAAATGAAATAATCAATGTTGGCTTAAGTAGACCAAAGTAATGGTGGACTTCAAGATAAATTGAGAATTAGATAGATTAGATGGATGTGTCAGTTCACAAAAACTGAACATTTCAGGATGTGTGCATCCATTTTGACTGGATTTGGGCCAAAGCAAATGAAAGTACTGTCTACCTGAAAATGAAGAGTCTTGTGTTTGCATCAGTACTGCTACTGCATGGGCATATTTCTGCCCAAATTTACGGCGGCAGCAGCACCTGAGTCTCCCACATCCCAAGGCTGCATCAAGCTTGTGGGGTGGAGGGACAGTCTTCCCTCTCCAGTCCAGTGAACGCCGCTTGACAGCAGTGAGGACAATTCCAGGAGGCATTTGTGCCCGCAGAGAGAGCCGGTGACTCTGGAGCTCCCTGCAGTCGGCAGCAAAGCCACCTGCCTCCGGGGTCCCGTGCAAGCTGCGATGTCTCTGTGCCTCTCCATACAGGTGCGCTTGTGGCGTTGCTTTCCAAAAATGTCTCTTGTTTGTGTGGGGATTTGGGAAACACTTCAGGAGCAAGCAGGACCACCTCTTTGTCTTGTGCGTGTGCATTTGTAGGTGCAAATTGCTGTTTGCCCATACGGCCAGCCGCTAGAGAAGACCAGAAGAGGTGACAGCGCAAGGGTGACCCTGTTTGATGCCTAGCTAGCCTCAAGAAATTCTGTGGTTTTAGCTCCTGGTTTTGTTGAAAATCAACCCCTCGAGCTGCTCGGCACCTCTGCCTCTGGGGATGTGTACCAAGTGGTACAAGTGTGGACACTTGTGGGACAAGTGTACCCTCCGCTGGATAAAACACTGGCTGGATGGCTGTACCCAGTGAGTTGTGGTTAATGGAGTAAAATCTGGTTGGCGGCTGGTCACCAGTGGTGTCCCTCAGGGCTCAGTTTTGGGGCCAGTCTTGTTCAACATCTTTATTGATGATCTAGACAAGGGGATTGAATGCACCCTCAGTAAGTTTGCAGATGACACCAAACTAGGTGGGAGTGTTGATCTGCTTGAGGGTCGGAAGGCTATACAGAGGGATCTAGGCAGGTTGGATCATTGGGCCAAGGCCAATGGGATGAGGTTTAATAAGGCCAAGTGCTGGGTCCTGCATTTTGGTCACAACAACCCCGGGCAGCGCTACAGGCTTGGGGAAGAGTGGCTGGAAAGCTGCCCGGAAGAAAAGGACCTGGGAGTGTTAGTGGACAACCGGCTTAACATGAGCCAGCAGTGTGCCCAGGTGGCCAAGAGGGCCAATGGCATCCTGGCCTGTATCAGGAATAGCGTGGCCAGCAGGAGTAGGGAAGTCATCATGCCCCTGTACTCGGCACTGGTGAGGCCTCACCTCGAGTACTGTGTTCAGTTTTGGGCCCCTCACTACAGGAAGGACATTGAGGTGCTGGAGCATGTCCAGAGGAGAGTCACCAAGCTGGTGAGGGGTCTGGAGAACAAGTCGTACGAGGAGAGGCTGAGGAAACTGGGCATGTTTAGTTTGGAGAAGAGGAGGCTGAGGGGAGACCTCATTGCCCTCTACAACTACCTGAAAGGAGACTGTAGAGAGGTGGGTGTTGGCCTCTTCTCCCAAAGGAATAATGACAGGACCAGAGGTAATGGTATGAAGCTGCGGCAGGGGAGATTCAGATTAGATATTAGGAAAAATTACTGAAAGAGTGGTCAAGCACTGGAACAGCCTGCCCAGGGAGGTGGTGGAGTCTTGCCCATACGGCCAGCCGCTAGAGAAGACCAGAAGAGGTGACAGCGCAAGGGTGACCCTGTTTGATGCCTAGCTAGCCTCAAGAAATTCTGTGGTTTTAGCTCCTGGTTTTGTTGAAAATCAACCCCTCGAGCTGCTCGGCACCTCTGCCTCTGGGGATGTGTACCAAGTGGTACAAGTGTGGACACTTGTGGGACAAGTGTACCCTCCGCTGGATAAAACACTGGCTGGATGGCTGTACCCAGTGAGTTGTGGTTAATGGAGTAAAATCTGGTTGGCGGCTGGTCACCAGTGGTGTCCCTCAGGGCTCAGTTTTGGGGCCAGTCTTGTTCAACATCTTTATTGATGATCTAGACAAGGGGATTGAATGCACCCTCAGTAAGTTTGCAGATGACACCAAACTAGGTGGGAGTGTTGATCTGCTTGAGGGTCGGAAGGCTATACAGAGGGATCTAGGCAGGTTGGATCATTGGGCCAAGGCCAATGGGATGAGGTTTAATAAGGCCAAGTGCTGGGTCCTGCATTTTGGTCACAACAACCCCGGGCAGCGCTACAGGCTTGGGGAAGAGTGGCTGGAAAGCTGCCCGGAAGAAAAGGACCTGGGGGTGTTGGTCGACAGCTGGCTTAACATGAGCCAGCAGTGTGCCCAGGTGGCCAAGAGGGCCAACGGCACCCTGGCTCGTATCAAGAATGGTGTGGCCAGCAGGAGTAGGGAAGTCATCGTGCCTCTGTACTCGGCATTGGTGAGGCCTCACCTCGAGTACTGTGTTCAGTTTTGGGCCCCTCACTACAGGAAAGACATTGAAGTGCTGGAGCGTGTCCAGAGGAGAGCCACCAAGCTGGTAGAGGTAATGGTATGAAGCTGCGGCAGGGGAGATTCAGATTAGATATTAGGAAAAATTACTGAAAGAGTGGTCAAGCACTGGAACAGCCTGCCCAGGGAGGTGGTGGAGTCACCATCCCTGGAGGTATTTAAGAAACGTGTAGACATGGCTCTTCAGGGCATGCTCTAGTGCCCAAGAGTATTGGTTTGTGGTGGGGTGTAGTGTGTGGGGTTGTGGGTGTGGGGTTTAGTTGGTGGGTGGTGTTTTGGGGTTTGTAGTTTTGGTTTGGTTTTGTTTGTTTTTTGAGTGTGTGTGGTTCTTTTTTTGTTTTGTTTTTTTTTAATGTGGTTGGACTCGATGATCTCGGAGGTCCCTTCCAACCACTAAGATTCTGTGATTCTGTGATTCTGTGATGGTGTGGCCAGGGTGCCGCCAGCCGGGCCCCGTCTGGGTGAGCTCCACTCAGCCCGCACATTGTGAGTGGAACCGGTTTGTCAGGGCCAGCACAGGGCTGGGCACCTCCCTCGGCACCCCGGCCTGGGGCCCCTTCCCTCGGGTGAGGAGGAAGAGGAGCCCAGGGCAGTGATGAAGGGGCTGAGCCGTCTGCTGCGTGCCGGGGAGGACGCCATGGTGGGAGCGGGGGCAGCCAGCCATGATGGCCGTGAGTGTGTGGGGGTCGGGGGTGAGGCCCGGTGGGGGTGGTGGGACAGCCCTGTCAGGGCTGCCAGCACAGTGGAGTCCACCCCAACCTCCTTCTTGCCTCGGCTAAAGAACAAACTGAGCAGGGGGTGGGGAGAAGAGAAAGGAGAGGATGTGTGGATGTGGGATTGGGAACTGGGGTTTGGCACGTCCCTCTTCTGAGGGACAGGTCCTGCAAAGTGCCCAGTGGCCCCACTTTAACTTCTCCCCTGAAGCCATCCAAGGGGGTTCACTGGTGTTGGTCACATCCCTGGGGCTGAGCACCAGCCGACAGCTTCACACCTGTGCTGGAGCATGTCCAGAGGAGAGTCACCAAGCTGGTGAGGGGTCTGGAGAACAAGTCGTACGAGGAGAGGCTGAGGAAACTGGGCATGTTTAGTTTGGAGAAGAGGAGGCTGAGGGGAGACCTCATTGCCCTCTACAACTACCTGAAAGGAGACTGTAGAGAGGTGGGTGTTGGCCTCTTCTCCCAAAGGAATAATGACAGGACCAGAGGTAATGGTATGAAGCTGCGGCAGGGGAGATTCAGATTAGATATTAGGAAAAATTACTGAAAGAGTGGTCAAGCACTGGAACAGCCTGCCCAGGGAGGTGGTGGAGTCACCATCCCTGGAGGTATTTAAGAAACGTGTAGACATGGCTCTTCAGGGCATGCTCTAGTGCCCAAGAGTATTGGTTTGTGGTGGGGTGTAGTGTGTGGGGTTGTGGGTGTGGGGTTTAGTTGGTGGGTGGTGTTTTGGGGTTTGTAGTTTTGGTTTGGTTTTGTTTGTTTTTTGAGTGTGTGTGGTTCTTTTTTTGTTTTGTTTTTTTTTAATGTGGTTGGACTCGATGATCTCGGAGGTCCCTTCCAACCACTAAGATTCTGTGATTCTGTGATTCTGTGATGGTGTGGCCAGGGTGCCGCCAGCCGGGCCCCGTCTGGGTGAGCTCCACTCAGCCCGCACATTGTGAGTGGAACCGGTTTGTCAGGGCCAGCACAGGGCTGGGCACCTCCCTCGGCACCCCGGCCTGGGGCCCCTTCCCTCGGGTGAGGAGGAAGAGGAGCCCAGGGCAGTGATGAAGGGGCTGAGCCGTCTGCTGCGTGCCGGGGAGGACGCCATGGTGGGAGCGGGGGCAGCCAGCCATGATGGCCGTGAGTGTGTGGGGGTCGGGGGTGAGGCCCGGTGGGGGTGGTGGGACAGCCCTGTCAGGGCTGCCAGCACAGTGGAGTCCACCCCAACCTCCTTCTTGCCTCGGCTAAAGAACAAACTGAGCAGGGGGTGGGGAGAAGAGAAAGGAGAGGATGTGTGGATGTGGGATTGGGAACTGGGGTTTGGCACGTCCCTCTTCTGAGGGACAGGTCCTGCAAAGTGCCCAGTGGCCCCACTTTAACTTCTCCCCTGAAGCCATCCAAGGGGGTTCACTGGTGTTGGTCACATCCCTGGGGCTGAGCACCAGCCGACAGCTTCACACCTGCTCCAGGACCCCCATTTTGGGGGGGCCCACTAAAACTGGAGGACCTTCTGACCTCCATGACTCCCAGAGATGGGGTCTCCAGCTTTCGTCCCACAAACCGGTTCGTGAAAGAACAGCCTGCTCTGGCATGGGCTGCAATTAGTGAAAACGGGTTATTTGTGGAAACTGAGCGGTGATTGTTAAACCCTGCCCGCGGCCCTGCCCTGTGATCACAGCGTGACAGCCAGGAGCGGTTCCCCTGGACCATGCTTCCTGCTTCCAGGCTGGCAAAGAGGGCAGATAAAGAAAAGAAAGAAATAAAATATCACTGTTGGACTCAATAGGTGGTTTTTCCCATGACTTCTTTGAATCGGAAAATGGTTATCTTAGAAAAAGATTCTTGTGACTTAGCAAAATACCTACTTTGCCCTAGTCATTTTATTTCTGGTAACAAACAAGGAAACATAGAGAAAACATTGAGAACGTCACCAAACCACAAAGCATATGACTTAATTTTTAGAAACAATAAAGTAAAAGTAAATTTTGTTGTCATTTGAACCTGAATATTGTTACTGGTTTTGTATTTTACCTCCTTGAACTCTTCAGCAAATTCAAATTCCTGGGTTTTTTCCATGTGCTTTTTGAGGCAATGACAGATTTCATCTTGTGGATACCACAACAGGAAATTAAAAATAGTGGGGTGGGGAGGAAGAAAAGGTTTCCATTTTCAAAGACTACTGGAACCTTTGGTGCACATTTTTACTTCATTGGAAGTCATCCTTATTACTAGAAGAGAGATTGAAGCCACCAGAAATAAGGTGTAAATATGAGGAAAGAAAAATGGAAGGTACCTCAAAGCTTGAGTTTCTGTTGAGGAAGACTTTCTGTTTTCAGGTAAACAAAGTGATTTACTTTTCTGCATCTTTTTACTTCACTGTCCTTCCAAGAAAGGGGAAATTGGGGAATTTTTAATACACCGTAAGCAGGGATTTCCACAAAGGAAATAAATTGATAAAAGTACTACCTTTAGTTAGCTCAAAATTAAAACTGGATATAACTATTTTATTGTTATAATATATATATCTAAGTATATAGCTATGACATAACCTGTAGGCAATAAGCCAAACATTTTCTATGAAGCCAAAGAAAATAAAAACCTAAACAGACTAACAGCCACAAATAGATAATTGATTGTGCTTGAAAATAGAGTGCTTGCTAATAATGCAAGGAGTGCCAAATCCTAGCTTGGATAAAAAGTTTCTGTAAATCTGTAGTCTGACAGCTTTATACTCCTGTAGTTTCATGCATGACAAAAATCATTCTGCAAAAGCAGCAAAAGGTTGTGCAGCAAGTCAGTGCTGCAGTGTGTCAAGGTCGCCACTGTTCTTAACTCCTAATTAAAGGGTATTAAGAGATAGCGATTATTAAGAAACATCACTCCCAGAACAGAAGGTCTTCTTTTTAACAGCATACGACAAATGCATGACTTCAGGACAGGAGAGAAAAAGATCAGTCACTAATTCTTTGTCAGAGCTACAAAAAACTGTGCTTGCGAATGCAGATGCAGTAAAGAAATGTAAGTTTCTCTTATGTCTTGAAGGCAGTGCGAGTAAACTGTTGGAATTGTTCCCGAATGTCCTAAGTTGCCACAGCACTTATCTTTGCATCGTACAGGTGTGAGTGTTTCCCAGCAGTGGATAGGAATGAATGTGGCCTAATTATAACTAATTGCAGCTAACTGGTGCCTTACCTTTTGTTTCCGTGTTTGCCACAAATTTGCCTTAAGCAAGATACCCTGTGACCATTGATTGACCCATGTTTGGAATCAAGGTAGCGGAAAGCTCAGTTGAATACTTCATTAGGGTGTAGACTATGAAAACTACAAGTGATGTATTTGTTCTGCAAAGATTCCTGTTTGTGATACTGGTTTTGCTGTCTGCTACAGTCCTTGTCACAGATGCCACGGGTACATTTTTATTTGCAACTGGTTTGTTGGAGTTTTTTTTTAAGCTGTGCCCCCTTGTCCTACAACAAGCGAGCAATATTCCGTGACTTCCAGAGAGTTTTGGGACGATGCTTCTGTCGTTTCAGGTGCTTGGATAATGTCATAGGAAAATTGAAAACAGATTTATTAGTGTCCAGTTTGATTTATAGCTCATTTTGTACAGTATAACTGTGATTATTCCCACTGAGATTATAATAATGGGTAATATGTAAAATGCAATTAAGTGAATGCCACACTGATTTTCCTTAGTATGCTCTGTAGTCATACTGCCTCAAGCTGTATTCTCATTAGGCGTTAATGAACTTAAATGTAATGCAGTAGGATGAATTCACGTGAGAGGCCTCTATGGAACAGATAATTGCTGCAGTTTCTAGTTCAACAGAGAGTGCTGTCCTCTTTGGTGATGTCACTGGACAAGCAGCTTTCAGGCCAAAATATTCTGGACAGAAGACATCTAAGTGATTAACTTTTTTAATGTAATATGCTAGGAAATTAAAGATATCTACTAACATTTTGCAACTGATTTAACTGCTACACTAATTTCTTCTCAGCGATTAATTAGATGTTAAGGTAGAAACATGAAAAATGCTCAGACCTCTAAGTTAGCTAAACCAGTTATCAGACACTGGAATTTTATTTTCCAAAGTTACTGAATTTTAAGTGTCTAAATGCACGCTGCAGCTACCTTAGTTGACCAAAGAGATGTTCATTTTTGGATTAAGACATTAAAGAAAATTCCCAATTTAATAGTAAATTCCACATTTTCACCAAACCTTGAGTAAAAGTACACATCTTCCTCCCCCCTTGCCCTGTCATTCTCTCCTTTAAAAGTCCTGTTTGGTTTGTTGGTTTCTTTGGGGTTTTTTTCAGTTGGGTCATACCATATGGTTACTGCTATACATCTTCATGTATTTTGGTGATGTGTTCTGTTTTAAAACAGAGCAGCTTTTCCAAGAATAGGAAATAAATGCTGCGGTTTGTACAGTTCACTGCTATGCCTATAAAATACTTTGGGACCCATTTAGATGATGAGAGCTTCATAAATGAACTTTTGTTCCTGTAAGCAGTGCAAATAATGGCAGTCCATGCTGTGAAAAGTCTACCTCTATTTGCACTTAAGAGTGGAAACTGGAAATATAAGCCAGATATCCCTAATGGAGAAAAATGCAATCCTGGAACAATTCTGAGAAGCAAATGGCTCTCATAACATATGAAATCAGGACAAATAACAGAAGGTACGAACAATGTCGTCATAGCGTTGGTTATGGCTATTTTTTTAGTAATGATGACTTTTTCATTATGCTTTTCCACAGTATTGCCAGATGAGAGAGAATTTCAACATGCTGCTAAAATGAACAATTTGGAAACCATGGAAAAGCTATTTACCAAGAATGTTAATATAAATGCTGTAGATACTGTGAGTATGAACCATCTGACAGATGACTGATCTGAAATGTGACTCCTTGGGGTTGCATGGTGGGATCCCATCATTCTAGCACTGTCAGATGCAAGGTGGTAAGGCAGCAAGAGTCCATTCTAGAACCTGATAAAGAAATGTTTTGCACGTCCAGTATGGACAGTAGGATTTGTGAAGCGTAACTCACAGGTCTTTGCATTTAGCCAGTCTAAATGCCACAGCCTAGTCTGTGCATCACACTGGGAACTAAGGACTTCTGAACCGTGGTGCCTCCTCTAATATTTACTCTGTTTTGGGGTGACTTATTTCTTGAGTTCCCCATGTTTCAGAGAAGAAGGATTTAACCTCCCAGTCACTTCGAGAATGAATTTATGCTGCTAACATTGCAAATTTCAAGAGTGAAGTGTCATTGTTCAGTTTTTATGGAACCAGGGGAGCATTCTACCATGTCTTCTGGCTCCAGGCTGAGATCAGAGTTCAGATCTGCCCTAGATAGATAGATGCAAATGCATTTTTTATACCAGCATCAATTCTAGGGCTAAAATCTGAGGGCGTACACTTCATGGTAACAAATTAAAGGGCTGTGTTCCACATGAGAGGTAGTTCAACAGCAATGGGGTGGTCATGATATTTATGTGGGAGTTGTGGAGAACAGTTTGCTGTGGCTACGTATAAATCACCTGCCCGTGATCATCCAATCTTACTTAATCATGGGTTCTGAAAAAAATTGCTTCCCATGCCCGTGTGCCTTTTTCCCCACTGAGGAGATGGTACAGGTGCATTCTTTGGTCTGTTTGTGAAAAAGAGAACAAGGCAAAAGTTTGATTTTGAGTTAACTTCTCTTGAACAATGAGAGTGTTCCCATCAATTACATCATACTCTAAAAAGTCACTTAGAAAATAGTTATTGCTTCTTTATTGCTTTCCAGAATTCAGGAAATTAAACTAAATACTTTTCCAGACCAGTAGTTTGAATCTTTACTCTGTCATCCTTAACTCAGACCTATAGTACAAGAGATTTCCTAGCATAGCTATGTGGATGTTGTGTGTTGATTGATTCTCCTGGTGGGGATGTAGCTTATACTGGGGAAACCACTCTTTTGTTCATGTTGGTTATTTCTGCCCCTGTACTCCCAAGCCAAATAAGCAAGCCTGCCAAAAGGTGAGTTTTGTTTATAGATAGAACCATTTCTGTGCAAGAGGCTTTTTTCTGGCATAAATGCATGTCATGAATCCCACAGCTTTTAACACATGCAGCTGTAAACTTGGACTTATGCATGGATCAGTCAGCTGATCTGTATAGAAGCATAAAATAAGAAATCCAAATTGATTTTTAAAGTTAATCAGTTTAATCACTTACATAACCTTGTATGGAAACTCTCAGTGAATTACATTAAACTTAGTTATGTTCACTTTAACTGGAAGCAAAACTCTCTCCGCTAAAGTTTAATTCAATTTAACCATTCCCTTTCAAATTCACACTATTAATTACTTTAATGAAAAATTAATCAAGTGTTCCTGATAAACAGTGAGCTTATTCACCTGTGTAAAATTACTCACTGTTTGCAAGGTGGAATCTTTCATTTACATAGATAATGACTCAGTCTGAGAGGGTGACTAATACTGAGTGAGGGAGGAATCTTGTCATGCATTGCAGAGAGATAGTCAAAAGAAAATCTAATTGCATAAATTTAGTCCTCAGCTTTTCAAATCAAACCATATAATAAAATAGTAAACATGGATGCTTCTTGTACGGCATGAATCTCCTCTAGGCAGCATGTGATTACTTAATCGTACTTGACATTTCAGTGAATTTCAGTGAAGGGGTGATGCTACATAGAGTAACTAAATCATTCTGGTTCTACAAGAAATCTTTAAGATCAATACCCACATTCTATCCAATGGAACAAAAATGCACATAAAGACCAAGCATGGCTGTTGAAGAAGAAATACGCAATTGTATACATACATACATATATATATAATCAGAGAATTCAGAAATCCTGATCACCTGCACAAGGAAAAGAACTGTATTATGGACCTGAAAACCAAAACTCTGCTTATTTCAGCTGAAGCGTACTGCGCTCCATTTTGCTGTTGCAAGAAGTCATATATCAGTGGTGGATTTTCTTCTCCATCACAAAGCTAGACTTGATATGGCGGATCAGGTAAGCTGGTTTACATGTTTTTTTCACACAGTATAGGAACAACTTAGGGTAAAAGTGACTTATCCTCCCTGTTTTGCCAAGTGCTTGCAGTAAAGGCTTTAGTGTGTCTTAAGACTGTACACATTTGTATGAAAAACCCCCACTATTAGAGGAAAAACACATTTCCCAGGGTTCTGGCTGCATTGAATAGTTGAGTGAGTGCAAAGGTGGTTGAAGTCAATTGTACAAATATACTGCCTGTGGTAGTTGTGCGTTAATCATTGTGTGGTTTATATGAGAGAGATCACTAAGAGCAAAACTGAGCTCTGGGGCTCACTAGGAGCTCAGAAAGTAAGTCCTTGTGTCCTTTCCCTCCATTTTTATGTGAGTAGCTTAACGCAAAACTGTCAGCTGCGCTGCGGCCTCCATGACATTAAGGGTTTAGCAGTGTATGGCTGATGTGGTTGGGTCAGATGGTGACCCGCAGTGCAAGACTTGATTCAGATATTAAAACTGAATGCATGGTATGTTATTAGTAAACAGGCTACATAACCTAGGACTTTTCCGGTGAAGCAAGTGATGAAAATAGATGAATCACTTACCTTTTTTTCCTCTGTTTGCTTCTTTCTCCTCATCCACCGCATGCGGCAGTGTTTAATTTGTAAGTAACGTAAATTATAGGTTGTGGAAGGAGAAAGTTGCTTTGGTTTTGCATTGTGTTGCAATGAGTATGAGAGAGACCCGTCAATTCCAGTTACCAGGGGCTCCTGGCTCGAGCACATTCTTGCAGTGTATGTAACAATCTCCTTGTTAGTGCTGCTTGAGTTGCTCTGAAATGTTCTCCCAAGCTGTCCTGCCAGTGAATACCTCACAAGCTGCTTTGAAGAAATATGGCCATCTTTCCCCGCCTTATCAGCTCCTAAGCAAATTTTGCACTGTTGTAAGCAATGTTTCCCCTTTTGTCTGGCAAGTTGAAAGACATTGCTTGAATGAAGCACAGTCTTTGATACAAATGCTAAAAGGGTAGTTCTGCAAGAAGTGGACAGTTTTCTTTAAGTTGTAGTGCTCTCTATAGCAACAGTTAAGAAATGGATCCCTGGATTTTTTACAAAGTACTTCTGAGTATAGTGTTAATGTAATTTTATTCTGTAACTATTGTAAATTATTCTTTATGGCAAATTATTTTTCAGTGGCTATCATCCAGGTTTGTTGAGGCAATAAAGTGACTCAAAATATTTTATGGGTCTTTTAATTACCCTGATAAGGAACATTGAAGCCAGGTTGGAAATATAAACCCTCCTCTCATGTTGGGGTTCTATCAAGCACTCAGAATCTCATTTTAATTAAGGACTACATTTTAATTATTAGTTGTCTTTAATTCTTAGATGTCATTAATCATCTTTGTTGAAATACCACTGGAAACACTCCATCATAATTAGCTCATAGAGCTTAAATATTATGACATTACATAATGTATTTGACAGTGATTCATGTATTCTGGCAATCAGTTTGGTCTTGCAATTGGTCTTGCAATTGGTAAAAAAGAGAATGAAGATATTATAACTTTATTTCTTACCCCATTTCAGTTTCTGACATACTTTTTGTATTAATAAGCTCAAGGTCTTAAGCATTCTTAATATTTCTCAGTACAAAAAATAAGCTGATTTAAAACACACAATGGTGTTCTTAGCAGTGTGGTACTCCCACTTTTAGACTGGAGACTTGACATAGCTCACGGAGATCGTTAAAAGGTTTATTGGTTAGGCAACACATCTCTAAGAAACCAATAATACATTAATTGGATAATAATCACACCACTATTGTTAATAGTATTAATTCACAATTATATCACTCCAAGTTGCAGTGGGGGAATGGTTGTAACTGCTACAGAAGTGCCTTGATTCCTCTTGCTTCCTTTAGGTTCCTCTACTCCACTTATTAGACTAGGAGCTTTTATGGTGCAGTATGAATGTCTTGTGGACAATGAGCCACGAGCCATAATGCTGCACCTGGACACAGCACACACAAATTGAGGAAGAGATGAGGAAAAGCTAGAGAGGTCTGTGGCCAACATGGGAGACACTGGCTGGAAGTTCCTTATCTGTATTCCTTTTGGGTCTAAGAAGTTAGCAACAGAGTTGAGGTTTTTTTCCTATAAGAGAAGGGCTTTTTGGAGAAGAAAAGAGAACCCTACAAAGAGGGCTAACTGGAAAATTATGGTGACTCCTGGAAATATAGTCGTTACTCATCATCACCTGAAATTTCATCCACTGCACCCAGTGCTAACCACCTACCTAGACTCCAGACAGAGGAAATAATTCCCAGGTGGTATTTAATCTCCTGGTCTTAAAATAGGATTAGCCCTTCTTAGAAGATGGCAGAGCTTCTGTCAAGAAGGGGATCAGCCCAGAACATTTAGCTAGGTCTTGATGTATGACATTTAGCTTAATTTAAGTGAGATGAATCTTAGTCACACTGCCAGGTGCTAATACTGATTTTCTAAGAGCTTGCAGAGCAGAACCCACTCATACACTGAATTAATGAAAAAGATTTAAAGAAATTTGGCATGAGGTATTCTGGTGGTAATTTCTGCCTTTATCGTTTTATTTGAAGCATGGCCTGACAGTGATTCATCTTGCAGCTTGGACTGGAAATCTGGATATAATGCGAAAATTGGTTAAAGCAGGCGCGGATCAAAAGGCTAAGAATGAGGTTTGTTGATGACAAATTTTCAGCAGCTCTAAACATACTTACGTTGGAAAAAAGTCAAACTTTTTATTACAGAGTTGCTTATGTTTTTTTCAGGAAGGAATGAATGCATTGCACTTTGCAGCTCAGAACAACAGCGTTAAAATAGTTGATTATTTTCTCCAAGATCTTCATCTGAATGACTTGAACAAGCCTGATGGGGTACAGTATGTTTCTTTATGTTTATCTCTTTAATGTCATGAAGCATCTGTTGTGGACAAAACAATCTTGACTTGCGGAACTTCAATGAATTTTGTAATGTATTGCCAGTTATATAAACTTTTAATTACTGGTTGTGTATTGAGAAACAAGTAAAACAAATAGCCAGACAAGTGCTTAGGAAAAACACATTTCCTCCCTCTTTGCCTGTCTCAGCTGGAGTCCAGACACTTTTTCTCCCCTGCTCCCCTTGTTTTTGCTGCACATGATGCTCAGTCTTGGTGAGGTGGTGGGAAGCAGAGGAGGTTGAGGTCAGTCTGCAGTGGTTTCCCTTTTTCCACTCTTTGTTTCTCACTCTTTTCCTCTGGTCCAGCAAGGATTCTTTCATGGGCTGTATTCACCCTGTGGGTACACCTCCTGTATCTCCTCCCTTGCGTCCTTTCCTGTCTCGTCCTGTATTTACACTCATGCATCCTCCCCATAGTAGACCACCCTTTCCAAAATATGTTTTCACACAGGTACCATCTGCTTCTCTGATGTGTTAAGTGGTGACACGTGGTGGGTCAGATTTGTCTGCTGTGGAGCCAGCTGGAAATGGCTGTGACCAGCACAGGGCAGTCTCTGACCTCCTGCCACACACCTCAACCTGCAGCTCCCTGCCTTTACCAAAACCTGCCAGTTATGACTAACACAGGCATATTTTGCCAATATAGAGCATAAAACTATGTGCAGCCATTCTACAGAGGTGCACTAACTCTTCAACAGTGCCAGGGCTTGCCCCTATCAGGTTTGCTGTGTTTTTATTTTTCCTTCCTACAATTCTGGGATCTTGCTTTGAAGGCATACTTAGATAAGTAGGATACTTGATCTTTACACGGGGAATATTTGTTCTTGTAGGATCTGTCACCAAAAGAACAAAATTCCCCTCTTCTTTTTTTCAAGTCTTGAATTGTATTGACTCAATAGTGCAAAACTCTGAATTCTTTCTACACGTGACAAAGCTGACAGAGCAGAGTTAATTTAACAAAACAAACCTTTGTGTTTGAGGCCTTGGAAAGACAAAGATTAAGAAGAATCTTCTTTATGTTGAGGTCTTTTCATAATTATCTATTAATTGCTTGCATTTTTTTTCTCAGACTTTTAATAGAGGCCCCTAGCAGCTAGTGAGGATGTCTAACCTATTATGGCCTCACTATGGTATGGTTTTATGTCAAGATAAATTTCTGCAGTTGAATTGTTGTTACCTTGACCACCACCACCAAAATCCTCCCACAATATACAGGACTAAATTCAGGCCTCTTGGATGAAACTTCTGAGAGATCGTTATTCTGGTTTGTGCTTGCAGAATTCAGATCAAACATTACCCCATGGAAATAAATCTTGCAAATCTTTACTGCTTGTTTCTGATCTTGCAAGTTCTTTACTGCCTGTTTCTGAGCATCCTCAGATTTTTAATGACGCAGTTCTTTCGATAATTTTTTTTCATACTGAGAAGAAAAGAAGTACATATTTTGAGCACATTTTCTACCTTGTTAACATTTCTGAACAGTTTTCAAGTATTTTCTTCAGGATGAGTACAATGTATAATCTGGTTTTTTACTCTAACTAAACATTGCATCTTTTTAAATTCTTACTCTTCTTGTATATATCTAATTTTCTATTAACCTACTTAATTATATGACATACAAGTTTTTATGCAGAATAGACATGCACATATGCACACCATATATCTAGTAATTGGAAGCAAAATATTTTTACTTTTAATAACACTGTGTTTCTCTCCATAATTGTTTTGTAGAAAGGCAAAAAGCCATTTCTTCTGGCATCTGAAAAAGGTCATGTTGACATGATAAATAATTTGATTACTCTGAAGCTGTTTACAACTGAAAAAGATAAGGTAAAGGTTTCTTTTCCACAGAAGTACAATTAAAAATGTACTTATGAAAGACTACTTTGTTTCAGTGTAGTTATCACACAACCAAGTAATGTGAAGAAGCTGTAAAAGTATCACAATCCTGGTAGTAATATATATTTGACCAACAAATATATAAGGATGATGAATTTTCAGTGATTAGGAGAAGACAGTGGGGCTTCTGCTCTTATTGCCAGGAAACTTTTCTGTACACATTTATAATCAGTGTAAAGCAAGACAAGTGTATGCTGTCTGTTGGGAGAAGTGGGAAAGTCTGGTGATTAAAGTGTCAGCCTCCATGCTGGGAGGTCATATTTCTCAGCTTTTCACTCTGCTGGTTGTGTCGCTGCTACATCCCTCATGACTAATTTTTCAGAGGTGTTTAAATATTTCAGGATGCAAATAAACACCTATTTTCAGAAACACCTATTTTTCAGAAGGGCCTTACCACTTCAATTTGATTGAATTTCTGTTTGACACTGAATATTCAGGTATCTAAATAACTTTCAAAGTCTACCTTTAAATTTCCTTACTCAACTATTTGTGGAATGAGCCAGTTGGTATTTTGCTGCATCTGAGGCACTGCAAGGATAAATGCATTAAAAATTGTGAAATGGTCCAATACTGCATTTATAGAACCATGCAAGTAAGCACCCAGGAAGTGATGCTCTTTTTTTTTTTTTTTTTTTTTTTTTTTGGTATTCTGGTAATAGTTTAAAAGCTGCAGTACAGCCCAGAGCTCTGCTGTGCTACACAGTTTATCAGCAGAGGCTGAAAGACAATGCTGTCCCAGATACATAGCAGGCTGAAGGTGTAAACAACGATGATGGGAGGCAAATGCTATGATCCTACAGAGTAAGGAGGTGAGAAGCCAGGACAGAAGGACAGAAACTCATCTCCTGGGTCACTAAAAATAATCATATTGTATCCATCATTTCTAATAAGGATTTTAATTCCTCCTCCCCCTACATTGCTGTGAATAAAAAGCTGCTCTGGACTCTCATTTCTCTGAGGGTTAGGATTCTTCCACTGATTTCCAGCTTCAGTTTGGTTTTAGCCAGTTTTATACTTTTTCTCACGCCAGCATTTTCTTTTAGCTCAAAACCTGCTGCTCTTCCTGAACTTGGTCTTTGTTTTTATTTGTTTGCTGGTGTGGGGTTTGCTTTTGGCTTGCTTTTTTTTTTAATAAATAATTTTTTTAATAAAATCATAGAATTGTCTAGGTTGGATGGGACCTTTATGATCATTTAGTCCAACCATCAACCTAACTCGGACAAAAACCATCACTAAACCATGTCACTAAAAGCTATGTCTACCCATCTTTTAAATACCTCCAGGGATGATGCCTCAACCACTTCCCTGGGCAACCCATTCCAATGCTTAATAACCCTTTCTGTGTAAAATTTTTTCCTAATATCCAGTCTGAACATCCCTTGTTGCAACTTGAGGCCATTGGCTCTTGTCCTGTCTCCTGTGACTTGGGAGAAGAGACCAACACCCTCCTCTCTGCAACCTCCTTTCAGGTAGTTGTAGAGGGCAATAAGGTGTACCCTCAGCCTCCTTTTCTCTAAGCTGAACAATCCCAGCTCCCTCAGCCTCTCCTCATAAGACTTACTCTCCAGACCCCTCACCAGCTTCCTTGCCCTTCTCTGGACCTGCTCCAGCACCTCAATGTCTTTTTTGTGGTATGAGGCCCAAAACTGAACACAGTACTTGAGGTGGAGCTTCACCAGTGCCGAGTACAGGGGGATGATCACCTCCTGAGTCCTACTCACCACGCTGTTCCTGATACTGTTGGCCTTCTTGGTCACCTGGGCACACTGCTGGCTCATGTTCAGTCAACAGTCGGCCAACACCCCTATGTCCTTCTTCTTATTTAACTGGTCAAAAATTGTGATCATGGTGAAGGAGATTGAGGATTGTGGTGTTGGCATCAAAGCCGTTACAAGTTTCTGTATACTTACTTAGGCTTTGGCCATTAATATTTAAATCAGTGATCTTGAGGGCTTGGTGTAGGCCCCATTCTTGTAGGAACCAGTATCCAAAGTTTTTTTCTGATTCATTCTTTAGGAGTTAGAAATTTAGATCTTTTTACTGGTCATAGCCTGCAGTTTTCAGAATATGAGACTACCACATAGACCAGCAAGTTCATGTCTGTGTAGATCTGAAAAGGTCCCTTTTGGACTAGTCTGAACATTGGAACATGCTGTGTGGATCTGCCTCCTCCTCCTTGTATGTAAAAGAGAGGTGTATGTAAAAGACCAAAGGCTTTGTGTTGATTTTACTTAGTGTTTTGACTTTATTCTGGGTTTTAAAATGTCTTATTTGACATTTTAATTTCAAGGATGGAAACACAGCATTGCATCTAGCAGCCAAAAATGGTCACAGTGAAGTTATAGAAATTCTGCTGGAGCAGTGGGAGGAAATAAATGACCTCAATGAGGTAAGGATACAGAAATCATTAAAAGATATAAAGTAAGAGATTTGAAAAATCAACTCAAAAATAACATTTTAAAGGAATAAATGTTGCACTGAGTAGACGTCGTTAGTTCTGCTGCTTTTCTAGTACCTTTGCATGCTGTTTCATTGTCCCTCCTCCAATAAAGTCAGCTCCATTAATTCCTGCAATGTCTTTTCCTCTGTTCTCTGCTCCTCACACAATGGCCTTCCCTCCGTCTTGCATGCCCTTGCATGGTAGGAGGAAACAGAGGAGCCTCCACCTTGCTTCCTGTCCTCCAACATTTCTGGCTATGCGATCCCATTCCTTTTACCATCTCTGGTGCTTTTCAGGCTCCTCATTGAGCCAGTTCAACATGCGTGCCCAGCACACACTGCCCCAGGCACCTCAGCAAAGATGTCTCAGCTTTGCACCATTTTCATCTGAGCTCATTTGACTGCACAGAATTGGCTGCAGGTGCCGCCTACCCACTTTTTCTTTCCTGGGTTAGCATTGGAGAGCTCAGCCAGAATATTCACTAATCGCATATTAGCTGTGGAGATTGTATCACTGATTTGATGCACTCCTGAACTTTATTTTAAGGTTTAAAGTCCTGGTGGAGGAGGGTATTCAGATCAGCGTTCCTGCTTTTCAAAGGGTCCTCGTGTCTTCTGCTTCTTCTGTGGGGCAGCTGGAATGAACTGGGAAAGTGAATTCACTTTGGTGTGGGCTGGCATGTCCACTGCAGGAACCTGCCTAGTGTCTGATGGTCTGTTCATGGCTGATGGCCCGCTGGCCCAGCGGCTGAAATGAGTAAGGGACACCCACTCACGCCCGAGGTCCTCCTCTTCCTTAATCAGCAACAGATTTATGGGTGGAGGGGTTGTCTCTTATCCAACTTCTTTGTTATTTCCAGCTGTGCAAGCTTTGAGGCACATGAACCCCTTTGAAATGCAAAGCCCTTGTATTTCCAAGCCTTGTCTAACAATGCTGCTTCTGCACCCAAAGCTTGTGCTGCTTGTGCCCCTGCCTTGCCATGGCTAATGGTGTGACCTTCCTGTCTCTCTGGAGATGTTCTGGGCTGTGGATAAACAGGTCCTTCTTTCCCCAGCATGAGTAAAGCACCAAAATGTTTTAAGTTTACCAGAGTAATGGTGGCAGGAGTTTAAGCAAGACAAAATCAGAATTTATTGATGCTTCTGTGAATGCTGAAGCACTAGAGTAAACCTCTGTGTGTTTTAGGATTTAAGAAGCAAGGATTAGATCATTGTGCAGCTGACATAACTTAGCTTAGAGACTTGCTGTGGAAAGTTGGAGACTTTATTGAGAATATTTGAAATAAATATGCAACAGAATTATTTCTGCTAGAAGCGCTCATTATAACTATTACTAGAGTTTGGAATTTGTCACAAATCCATGGCATTGAACTGAACAGAAATTGGTACTTATGATACGTGCTAGCATGCTAGCAGTGTTGCCTGGTGTTGAATGGCAGCAACTGCTACCCACTGTCTTGTTTTCTGTGCTGGTTTCTAGCAATATTCTTTGAAAAGAATGTGATTAATATTTATGAAATAGTTATCTGTATTGTAAACCTTTACTGTACATCTGTCCACATAAATGCCATCTGTTACTTAAGTGTTGCTGAATTGCCATTTCATTTAAGCGTTAATTTATAGCATTCAGGTTGTGTTCTCTCGTGACCGCCTCCCCCTTTCTGTTGAACTGGATGAGTGTGATTGAGCTAACATGTTTTGTGTCACAGCCTTATAGTCACATGGCTTAAATTGGAACAGACACTTCTCTCTGTTGCTCTAGAATGGAGAAACTCCATTTTACTTGTCTGTTGAAGGAGGTCATGAAAAATGCGCTGAACTTTTACTGGAAGCAGGGAGTGACATCAATGTTTTAACTCAAGTATGTACATAGTATTCCTCCAGCATACAGATACTGGGACATCCTGGGCTGTGGGAAGGACCTTATCTTTTCTGGGAGTGCTAACAGTATATTTTCTCTGCTTATTTTTATGAAATGGTAAAATATTAAATTAATAAAATACAATTGGGAACGCAGAGTGCTAACAGAGTAAAACAGATGTGGAAGATATATAGCTAAGACTTATTTGACAGAGTACTGTAGCTTTTTTATTTACTGTATGTCCAATAGTAAAACATATGACTAGGAAATGTAACCAACTAGGGTAATTGAAAATCCTCCTTTTTGGCAGCGTATATGATTGAACTGATGACAAACCTCTCGTCCACATCTGGTTCCTGGACTCCAGTCCAGCTCACATCTGTTGAATGGCCTTGGCTTGCCTGCTGCGAGAAGTTTATGATTCCAGCAGATTGAGAGCTTGTTTGTTTTAGCAGAATTATTAAATAAAAATATTCTATTGATTTATTTTAAAAAATTTGTTAATGTAGCTGTACTTGCTTGTTAAAAACAAATTGAACTAACAGTCTAGGAGACATTTTGGCATTGGCATTTTCCATGGCATAGGATAGCTGACCATGCTGATTTACCTCTATCTTAGGAGAGACTGAAAAAGACTACAGAATACTGATGTTTTTAGCATTTTGGTTGTGATATAGTAAAAATAGGAAGTTCCTTCAGTATTTACAAAAACACATCATGGTCACTGCTGATCCATTTGATTTTATATCTTTTTATCAAAGGGATTTTTTTGGAGGAAGGGGATAATAACACAAATGTAAATGAAGGTCTCTTTCAATGTATTGAAAGCTCGCTTTAGTACTGTTGTTCTGGTAACAAAACCATAAGTTTTTGCTGTCTATACCATTTATTTCAGAACAATAGCAGTGCTTTGCAGATTGCAGTTCAGAATGGACATCTCTCCTTGGTTAATTTTCTTATTGATAGGAATATTGACCTGGTTCCTAAACCCGAGGTGAGTGCATATCAGTATGATTGTTTTGCTGTTGTTCAGCCTGTCCTGTCTTTTGTGGTCATCCTTGGGAATTCAGACAGCTGAATGAGATTGGCTAGTTCCTTAGTTTTTTTACTATACGTGTTATGTGGCTTATGGGTGTTGGTTATCAACACGTATGGACCAACAAAAACAAGGTCCTGTTGCACAAAACCAGTGAGTGCCTGGGCAGACTGGTGCAGTGCAGTGTGGGGGTGGCCAGGCTAAGCCAAGGAGCAGGCATTAGGAGAAGGCATGCAAAGCACCCTGCTTGAACTAAGCAGCAGTCAGGCAGGCCTCCCCTGCGTGCAATGGGCAAAGAGTAAAGACTTGTAAATGATTTTGAATAAAGGTAAATAAAAGGTAAATAAACACTTGAGTGCTTTCACCCTCTGCACTCAAAGCATATGGCTTCAAAATCTGCATGCCACCATTCTTTGGGGTTTAAAAAGGAGTTATTCCTGAGATTCAAATCTTGTCTCAATTTAGATATTTCAGTTTTTGTTACCCGTGAGATTTTCTGTGAATAGGAAATTATTTTCCACTTTTACAGTACAGGGTGAAAACAGAATCTGGGCTTCGTGACTTATCTGCCATGATCACTGGCCTGTTGTGTAACGCCATCAAGGAAGAGCAATTTATAATGTGCTTGAAACAATTTGTGTTAAAGATCAGGCAGTTATTGTGCTGCTTGTTCTCATTGGCTTTCTGTAGCAGAAGTAACTCATAAAACTGTAACTTATGTTTTGGAAACATTTCCAGTGCAGTATTGCATAAGAGCTTGCTTTATTTTTCTGTAGCACTGAAGAAATGGCTGGGGTTTATAAAGACACTAATGAACTGGTGTCGGGCATCCGTGAATGGCACTGGTATGGAATTGTTCTTTAGCTGTACTTAGTAAGATATAACTGATGAGTCACAGGTTCAACACACAAAGTGATCTTGCCAATCCAATGGTTGGCTTGTGACTGGTGTTTGATCTGTGCCCCAGTTATTTTAATAAATAATCATTCAAATCAAACCCCTTTATTTCTTTCTAGCTGCAATTTGCTTTTTTTTTATAAATCTGACAGCAAGTCAGTTAAGTATGAAGAATATTTCTAGCAGCAATATATGACAAGAGTTTATTGCTGGAAAGTCGTCTCTGACAGAATTAGTCTGTCTCCAGCCCACCCAGCTAAGGGCAAACCCAGTTTTCTGAGGGAACAGAAACACTACCCGAAGCTCTCTATTGTCGGCCAAGGGTAGCAACACATCCCAGGGATGTACATGTAAGAGGAGTGCCTTGCCATGTTTCTAAGTGGTGACACGCCAATACACATCCCATGCACTCGACATTCCCGTGTTTCTCAGCTGTCATTGTTCACCTGCTGCTGGTGGTGCTGCGGGAGCGGGAGCAGGCTGCCACATCTGGCATAAACCTGCACCTCAAGGGGTGTTTTCTGGAGTCTTGAACCTCTGTTAGAGCATATTGTCTTTGCAGATTTTAACACGAACCTCTTTTTGTTTGAATGAACTTCTAATTATGTACCCAAATATAATAGTTCATTATTTTCCCTCCACAGCAGAAGAATTCCCCCCTCCATTTAGCCATCGTCAATAATCATCTAATGGTAGTAAGAAGCCTCTTGGATGCCAATCATGACATAAACTCCTTAAATCACGTAAGAAAAACTGGGAATTAACATAACTTCACTGGTAAAGAGGAGATTGTGTGGATTTTACTCAAAATATTTTTCTTTTCCTTATGAGCTCAGGGTACAAAAAAAGAGGAAGGAAAAGGCAGTTCCCTCCTTATCTTTTTTGTGTGTGTGCATATGTGTTAGTCACTGGTACATGCTGTGCTGGTATTCTTTGTGCAAGATAAGGACAGCAAAATATTCAGAAAATATTTGGGTTAATTTATTGTTCAAGTGGTACGATTCACGCAAAATAAATGACAGAAATGTCTCAATGGTTCTGATCTCAGAGGAGAACCCAGTGCAGAGTGTCACTTGGCTGGGATGGAGTTAATTTTTTTCATAGGAACCCATAGGGTGCTGTGTTTCAGACTTGTGACCAAAACAGCACTGGTAAGCCACCGGTGTTTAAGCTGTTGCTGAACCATTTTCAGCTTCTGTTATGCTGGGTATCACTTTGTTTTGCTTTGCCTGGGACAGCCATGATAAAAGCACTGGCCTTGAGCCTAATCTGGTATTTATGGGTCCTATGCTCCGGGTACTTGGAGAACCACCTCATGGAGAAAATCATCAATTTCACCTTCCTCCTTTTCTCCTGGGAGAGGTGCTTTGTGGAAAGAGGAACGAATGGCACCTACCCCTTCCTTTTTCCCCAGGATAGGTCTCTCCCATCTTCTTGTAACAGCTGCTCAGTTCCTTGAAGATCCTAGTGTAATCAGACTATGCATACTAGTGTGTGTAGCAAGCCTCATTTTGATTATTTTTCATACAGTTAAACAACTAACTGGGAATGCCACACAGGAATGTGCCTGGAGGAGGTAGATCCTGAGGTGGCTGGGTGTGGGGGAGGAGTTGGGCAGGTGCCTGGGGCTGTTGTTGCCTCCAATATATTTGCATTTCATGCCTGAATAGACAGGTTGTTCCAGGTGATTTGCACACCATTTGAAGGAGGGGAACATTGCCTGATCGGATGAAACACAGTGATTTCTAATACTGTGTTGGGGCCCTGTCCCATGCCTGCTGAGCTGCCACCCAGTGCCCTCAAAAGAGAAAGAGAAAGGGTCTGCTGACCAAGGAGCACACAAAGGGATGCTCAGAAGATCTCCTGTGCTGAAGCCACCAATATAGATACTGAAAAGGTCACTCAATCTGAGGGCACACACCAGAGACCCAACCCTCAAGTGTAATAGTTGCTCCTGCACTGAAGAAGAAACGGTGGAAGCGGATGTCAACTTGGTTAGCAAGGGAAGCAGCATCTCCTGTTGAGGGGTGGAAGGGGTTGCTCCAGTGCTGGGAAGGTGAGGAAGTCCAGCAGCTGGGATCCATCTCCAGGGACTATGGGATTGAGGAAGGGATTGGAAGAGAGGCAGCCACTCTCAAGCCTCTGGAGGTGATTTAAGAGCACGAAGGCAAAGTAACTCCTCAAAGATACTGTAAACCAGTGAGGCAAGTAGACTACCACAGAAATAAGTGTCCAGTATCTGAGGAATCATCGAATCATAGAATCATCTGGATCAGAAGGGACCTTCAAGGTCCAACCTCCCCGCAGTCAGCAGGGACACCCCCAACTAGACCAGGTTGCCCAGGGCCTCGTCGAGCCTCACCTTGAATATCTCCAGGGATGGGGCCTCAACCACCTCCCTTGGCAACCTGTTCCAGTGCTCCACCACCCTCATAGTAAAGAATTTATTCCTAATGTCTAATCTAAATCTGCTTTTCTCCAGTTTAAAGCCATTACCCCTTGTTCTGTCATTGACAGCCTTTGTAAATAGGAAGTTAATGGTGGTGAAGGTGGTTGGCAGTGCCCTGTCCAACAACCAGGCCTCCAGGGATCTGGATGACATCCAGTGCTCATGGTCAGTGTGGCAGGATTTTGTACATTGCTCGTGGATGTTGTACACTAGCACCCTGGTCACAATGGACCAGGCAGGCATTGAGGCACCAACTCTGCATAGACCAGCCTGCCAGCTGCAGTGCTCCCTATAACACTACATCTCATCATCGGGCACTCTGGCTCCTTCTTGGGGCATTGCTCCCTGGTCTCCTGCGTAACAAGTGGAGCTGTTGCACATGATAGGAACAAGGACTAGTCTGAAACCTGTAGTTTGCTCCTTCCCATTGATCATTTTATTGCTAAAGATTAATTTATGCACATTTTTGTGGGAGACAGAGGTTGTCATTTGTGGTTGGAGTCAACTGTAATGACAAGGCCTTCTGTCACAAAATAAGAGAATTTTGTAAACTTCTTAAACCCATCTTTTAGGAAGATGCACTTTGTCTCTAGCATGCCTGAAGTTACACACAAAAGCTACATACACAGATCTCTAAACTACTGAGAAAAGAAAGTAGGGTGTGGAAATTTGTGGGAAATTTATGAGGTCATATGATTATGCTGTGTATTCCCAAAAGAGCTGATGGAGACTCTAATGTGGAACCCTGAGGCTGGTGTTTCTTGCTGTGTAAGGTCTGGGTGTTTGACTCTGCAACCTTTAAGTTCAGATTTAAATGTCAAAAAAAGTTCTCTAACCAGACCTACAGAATGTAGACCTAAAATATCAGAGAAGCACAGGCACAAAACCTTCAACTTAAAAGGATGCTTTGTCACTGAAACATGCTAAGAGACATGTCCAGCTATGCAGGGCTTCCACACATGACAACATATCTTATTTGCTGCTTCATTACACCCATAGGCATCTGGAATTTCTCATTCTAATATTCTGTAGAAGGATAAATAGATAAATAGGGTTTTTTTGGGTACTTGCAGCTGTGTAGAGACTACACGACCCTCATTTCAGACGCAAAGATTAGATATGAAGCTGAATACTTCTTTATCTGTATTTCTTGGTAATGGTTTGGTTTTGTTTAATGCTTTTATTCCCTCCTCCTTTTTTTTTTTTTGGTTGTGCATGGTTTAAGGTTCACTGAACCCATTATGGAGCAAGTAGACTTCTGCTGAATATCATCTTGTTGTGGCAGGGCTAGCTAACAAACCCTGTGGACTGTGGCACAATGTATGGCTGAAAATTATGGATGTCCAGTTGTGTTTGCATGAATTTCAGCAGGGAAAAAAATACTCAAGAGGATAGTATGTGTTGAGGTTGGCAGTCACATGAAGCACTCTGTCCAAAACAACTTGTTTGAAGAGGGAAAAGAGAGAGAGCTCAGAGAGATTACAGTACATTAGAGGGGCATGACAGCAACTTTCTCCTGAGCCAGCTGGAACTCCTGCCTGGTTTTCCTGTGGAGATCCCAGATGCTCTCTTGTTTGCCTGAAACAAAACTGGCAGGTAGATCATTCAAAAGTTAAATGATTTCACTCTGTTCCATGTTTTCTCACCAAGGCTATCTCTTGTTGTAAATCTTCTTTACATCAAGGTTGTGAGTGCTCTGCTTCTAAGAGGGAGTTTGGCTTGTTGTATTTATTTGGTGTCATTAATTCCAGAGGCAGGAAACCCCTCTGCATCTGGCAGCTGATCTTGGCAATGTGGAGCTGGTGGAAGTGCTGCTGAAGGCACACTGCGATCTCAAGTCCGTGGATAAGGTAGGTTGCATTCCTCATATGTGCAAGGATTATGTGACTTTATTTTTGGTTTAATAACCTTCTTCCCAGAGACACAGGAAGCACTTGTTGCCAGTCGTCTTTTCTAGGTAAAGCTAGCTGCTAGTTTTTACATAGGAAGTCTCCTTTTAGTATGACCGTACCCGCAGCTTGCAGAGAATCTGAAATGGCTTTAGTGATGAGCTGTATAACTTCCAAGATCTGCAGTTTGAAGGGTAAACTCTGTCACCAGAGATCTCTGATGGAAAAAGGGACTAGGCTTATGGAATGTAAAACAGCCTGCGGCTGTTGTAACTGTGCACCTGCAGCCAGGAAAGGCACCGGTACTGCCAGCTTCACTAATTGCAGCAACAGTGAGTTTGCCCTTTAGCCATCTGGAAATGGTGGTGTTACGTCCCTGAGGAGCCGTCCCAGATCCGTTCAGGTGGGTGCTTAGATCCAGTTGCTGATGTTCAGCCTGGAAAGACTAAGGCAAGAATGGCAAAAGCTGAAGTAGTACCAAAGCAGGGTCTCTGGGGAATTGCTTTTGAAATAACAGAGTACCAAATGAAGTTTTAAAAAAATTTTGCTAAATTACTGCAAGATTGAGCTTTCCCTTTTTATACTGTTACCACTGTATTCATTTTCTGTATGATTGAACTGACAGATTTTATGTTTATCATGAGCAAAATCTAGCTCTTTAGGAATTTAGAAAGTAATTTTCATGCACAAAACGGTCCTGATGATGAACAAAACTTTATGGACTAGGATCATCATCTCTTTTTTCCCTAGCCTGATGTGAGGCTTGGGGCTCCGAGTGCGGATGATACAGTTGATGCGGTTTGGGAGGCTGAGGTAAGATGCTGCATTGCAGTTAAGCCTTCCCATTCAGAGTCATGCCTTACACTAGCTGGAGAGCTGCAGTTCTCACATGGCTAACCCAGAATGAATTCCTGTCCACATTAGACAGTGCCTTAGCTTTAGCCATTGGCAGGCACAGAAAATTAATTATTGCCTGTTTTGACCTTAAGCACCTGCAGGCCTTTGTCCTGGCATTACAGCAGTGTTGACAGAGTTAAAATGTTATGAGAACATGGCTCTGAGCCAGCGCAAGTTCTGTCACTTTTCTACACTGGTTTGATCTCTTGGAGTTGCTTTTCCCTTGCCTGTTTGCTGGATGACCCCTGAGCCCACGCCACCACTGTGAACATTCACAAGCACAGCCCTCTTTGAACTAAACCAGTGCTGAGGTGCCAAAAACGTTCCCGTCCTTGCTGAACAGCAGGCAGGAAAAAGGAGAGCCTGCTTTAATTGCAGAGTGGTTTCCTGTCCTTCGTGACCTGGCAGCAAGGGTTCTGAGCCTCCAGAGCATGCCACGCATCTGCACAAGCTACAAGCTGTTACAGCTCAGGAAATGCTCTCCTGGGAGCTCTTCCTTCCTCCCATCTGCAGATATAGTTGTCGTTGGTTGTGACTGATAGTGCAGAAAGTGATCCCTGTCTGCAAGACTGCTGTGCTACATGTGCATGCAGGATACCAGTGCTGCCTGCACTAGCACAGGAGGCCAGAAAAAAACCCCCTTCTTCCACCTCCCTGTGAAATGCAGAGCACTTTTCTAGAGGTGGGACCCAAGGAGCTTCTGTGGTCTCTGGACTCTTCACATATGAAGTATGTCTAGGCTATAAAGATTTTATGAAATGTAAATTTCTCGGCTTCCAATGGGATGCTTTTCTAAAAACAAGCCATTTAGAATGATCTTGAGCAGAGCAGAAGTTTGAACTCAAAAGGTATAAATCAGGGAACTTTATAATAGCTGGACAGTTGAAATGCCTTATAATTTAAGTACTGAACCTTCTAATTAAGGAGTTGGCTTCTTTCAGGTCTAATTTTCTAGAATGCCTAGGACTTGATATGTGGAGAATGAATATTTAAATCTGAGGCAGCTCCACTCAGTGCAAGTATGCTGAAAACAGACAACTGCAGAGAGAACTGGACAATTGCAGACAGAACCCTGCAGAGCCACTGAGATGCCTTTACATCAAAGTGCTGATAGGAGAGACGAGTTCAGACCTACTGAAGAATCCTCTGCAGCTGGAATTAAAGCAATGGCTTTTAGTTCCTTTGACTGCTTGTACTACCCATGAAATACCTTCAGTTGTGCTCACTTCAGTTGTCATGAGAAAGTCATTCCCACACCCTCTTTTCATTCTGTGAGCCAGCTTCTCTTACATCCAAAACAAGATGCAGGTTTGCCCTTCAAGTTGGAGGTTTCCAACTTTGCCAGACTATCCATCTGGAACGCCAGTTAAACCATAACATGGGAATGGACTGTATTTGTGGTAGTTTTCAAACTGCAGATGCCTGGGCGGGCGTGAACCTGGAAACAGTGACTGGGAGCGCGAGCTGGTGTGAGGTCTGCAGCAGCCTGACTGCGGGAGGTTTCGGAAAGCAGCTGTACCTCACTAGAAATTATTTAGGGGGAGTTCAGTGGGGGAAAAAATTGACCACCTCTGGGCTGAGGGGATACAGCTCACACAAAGCATAAAACTACCATCAAGGTAGCTGCCCTGAAGCCATAAAACTGCAGCAATACATTTTCTTGAAAAAAAGGGATGGGGCTCTGTAAATTAAGCTCTTGCATTTCTTCTCTGATATACCTATCATCATATATATGGTAATGTTCTGATTCACTATCTCTGCTTTCAGCATGGAAAAACTGCACTAGCTGTGGCATCGAGGAGCAATCACGCCCTTGTTGTAGACATGATCATTAAAGCACAAAGGTATTATGCCATGAAACAGGTAAGAGACATCTCTCATTTCACTAAGGAGAACTATAAGGGAAAAGCCAATTCTGATCTTGAAGCGCTTTTTGCCAGAGGTGGTTCCTTTTGGCAGGTTGCAAGACTGGCTTTGATAAACTGAGGCTAGGATTGGGAACAGGAAGGTCTCTATTCCTGAATTGCTGTAAAATTTTAGGCAGACCTTACTGTTTTCCTTCATCATGCTTTACACATAGAAATAGTGGGAGAGAGATTCTGACCCAAATTCAAACTGTGCCATCGGGGCTGGGATGACCTGAATCCATGCTGAACCTTGCGTCCTTTGGTACAGCACAATTTGTGGTTGAAAAATGGAGGAGTGCAAGTGTCTGTCGCTCCTTTGCTATTGAGAGCTCAGTTGCTTCAGCAGGAGCTCCCTCCTCTGTTCTACGTGTGTTAACTATAAAACACACTCTGAAATGGGAAAGAACCAGGCAACAAGTGTGAAGGACACAGCTTAGGTTGACCTCAGATTGTCTGAATTTCTACCCTTCTTTCCCCATTTGTTATTTAAACATAGGCTGCTTAGTGATGACCCTCCCTTGAAAGGGCTGCAAGTCAGATGTACTGAGGTGTAGATGACGATTATTTTGGCCTGCGTTGACTCTCCCATGTCACCTACGAATCTGTACACACTCTGTAGGTGGTTAAATGTCTGAACAAGAAAAGCTAAGCTTAGAACCTCTTAAAATCAAAGGAGTATTTGGAGCTGGGCTGCTGGTGAGGTCCATTCTGGAGACATGCCTTCTAACTCAGACCAGCCCAAATGGGTCTTGAAAATCCAGGATGTCTCATGTCACAGGGTCTTAACTGGGACCACTGACAAAGTTCTTTTATTCTATCAGTAACAGTTGTAGCAATGAGCCACAAAGAATCTGCTACACCTACGCACTTGATGAAAGGGGGGTATTTTGTAGGATGGCGAAGGCTCATTTTAGGGCATACTAACGCTCCATACATCAGTTTTATATTGGATTACTCAGTTTTTCCTGTTTGGACCTCTATGTACCCCCCTAAGAATTGATTAAATTTGCCAGGTTTTGACACAACACAGTTTAGAATCCCCAAGCTCTCTCAAATAATGCTGTTTGTTTGCCAGCTTGTCCTAGTGAGGCAGTAAAAGACATTTCTTGTAGCATTCACTATAAAACGTGTAAGGAGGAAGATTTATTTACGTAGAGCAAGTAATTCTGTGAGCACCAGAGCTACAAACCAGAGAAAAAGGACTGGTGAAAGGAACTGACTTGACTGTCAGCTCTTGCGCTTTCACTGCTGAGCTGCCACACAAATCTGTAACTTCATTCTCCTCCTGCTGGGGAGGGTTTGTTTCACCAGGTTAGCCACATGCCTCCCGGGGTGGTACACGCTGATCCCGCCCTAGTACAGGCACAGGAATTTGCTGGTTTTACCACCCCACTCCGGCCCTGTGTGCCCAAATCCATAACACTTAATGTTACAGGGCGTTGTGCTGGTAAATCACAGATGCAGATTAATTACCATGAAAAGCACCTCTGCGAACTCCCTGCGTTGTGCGCATTTGATTTGCATCAGTTCAGCTGGAGTTGTCAGGTACATTACTGTTTCCTTTGGCTTCATGGGGAATTAGGAGTGAAGTAATCTGTTGCCAGAGAAGACATGACAAGTCTGACAGCAGTGAGGCAGTAACGCTCCTCACCTCTTGGCATTGTTCACTGAATAGCCTGAGGAAAAGAAAAGATGTTTACGCAGATGTTTTTTCCCGAAAGAGCTCCACAGATTCCCAACAGATGTTGGGAAAGAGAAACATAAGTGTTAACATCCCACTACCTGAAGCTCAGAGCACAGCCTTGGGAAAGCAGCTTGGGTCTTACAGCTATGGAATGTGATATTGTTCAGGTGGTGTTATGATATACAAAACTACAGTGATCTGAAACACTATTCTAAGAACTTGTTGTTACATTGAGCTGACTTATCATCTATGACAAGGCATTAGTTACAAAAGGAAATGTCATGTTGCTGTGAGGAAGTGCACGATACTAACATGTGTGAGACATCTTGTTCTCTCCATTTCCCCTTCTTCCTCTTTACTGCTTCCACCCAACACTTCCCTATCACTGCCCAGGCTGTTTTTGACTGGATTTGAGGGCTGCTGTTACTGTCCCACTCTGCCATCGCCTAGGCACACATTTAGTGGCAAAGAGAAGCTGTGCTGCTGCACAGGGAGGAGAAAAAAGTTTTTTGTTATTGTTGGGTTGTTTTTTTTTTTAAACCTCAGAAGAGAAACACTGAACTGGGGAGAGCCTGAAGCTGTCCAGTAAAATGTCCTAAACCTCACCCCGCATGTGTCAGGAAGCATGAAATAAAGTCTGCACCAGAAAAATGGAATCAAACCAACATGACAATGTTTACTTACTGAACTAAAATGATTTTCCTTTTTTCCTTGCAAGACTCTTAAGGTTAGGAAATTGTCCTGTTGTATTTTTCTGAATTTAATTCAGCATGAAGTATTTTATGCTTAGCACATTTAAAATATGGCATGCTGCCATCTCTTTTTTTGCTTAGTATCTGCTTTGTAATCCTGTATCAACTTTCTGAAGCAGTTTTTCAGTTTGGAGACTGATTTGAAACACGACTAGCACATAAACAAAATGAAATGTAAAGGTAGTTCGAGCTTCCCTACCGTAGGAATGAGGCGTTTCCCTGGGCTCCACTTGTCTAGGACTGAAGTCACTGCTAGAGGTGGTTTTTGCAGAGGTGCCCAAACGAGAAGTAACCCCATCCCTCCTGTTTCAGATGAGCCACGCATACGGTAACAACATCACTTTTAATCTGGAGGGTAAAGTGCTTGAGGTTTTGGTTTCAATGTGATTTTGCTTATGCAGGCAATAAAACCAGATCCTGGCTCAACACGCACACACTTATTGGCCCTTAGACCCTTTGCTGAACGGGGCTCCACACGCTAAACCCAATGGCTCATGCTGCCATCGAGTCACCTGGTAGTCCCTGCTTCAGCCAAGCAGAGCTGATGGGGCAGAGGTGGCATCAGCTTGAGCAAGCACCATGCCAATGGTGCCCAGCCCCTCCTCAGGGGGAGGGCAGCCCTTCCAGAAGAGGAAAGGCCAACTGTGGTTGAAACCCAACCGTGTTCCAAGTGTGACATATAAAATAAACACTTGCTGTTATGTCCTGTTGTGTATCAAGTGCCAGAAAAAGAAAGTGGTTCATTTTGCATTTATCTTAATAAAACATAGCAATAGACACAGAAGGCTTTGCTTCTGTTCTGTTAGTAAGACTGTAACAATATCATCCACACCAAGCCATCTTCCAAAGAGCTCTACTAGCCAAACACGTTCCTTTACCTGCACTGAGGACATCACCTGTCAGTAGCCATGCAGGACACAAAGTTCACTGCTTGCTAAGCAAAGGTTCCCAGCTTCATTACAAAATTATCATCTACTTTCTTTTTCAGGAATGTCTAGCTCATAGTGATGACAGGTCAGACTTTGGCTTGTCCTTCAAGCAAGATCATAGCACACAGACCAAGCAAATCCGTTCCTCCCTTTGGTATCTAGCATACAACCAGTTAAAACCCCAGGAATGGAAAAAACTGGCCCTGTTCTGGAAGTTCACAGATGAACAAATTAAAGCTATTGAAGAACAATGGACAGGTAACAATATCTGAATGGCTAGGCATAATATATTAAGCTATGACAACCACAGGGCAGAGCTGCTTTTTAAACTATGAGAGTATCACAGATACACACTGGCCCCACTGTTCTTACTCAAATTATGAAAAGGAGCAGTGAATGGATACAAGCCTCATCCCTGGCTCATGGGAAGTGAAGTACTGTAGAAGCAGAGGCCATTTCTGTTCTCCCTCTTGGCCTGAAGGAACCTTCACCTTCAGAAATCAAGAACAGGAGCAGTGAGCAGCATGGAAGGGTCTTGCAGGTCACACTGGAAATAAGGGCCTGGGGAACCCTGTGACACAGAAAGACCTTGATCATGCTTTGTCTTGACAACTGCCATGAAAGAGCAGTTTGTAGTTTCAGGCGTCTGAAATGCTGGGAAAGCAACACTTTTTCAGCATGCACTGTGGTTGTTTACTACTACTACAGGGTAAATTTCCACATGCTGTGGAAAATGAAAGAAAAATTTATTTTAAGATGTATTAACTTTTTTTCCCTCCCTTTAGAGTAGCCTGAGGATAAAGCTAGGATTATTTTTTTATTTCAGTCTTCATTTTGCTTCTAGGTGAGAAAGGAAATAAGAGTAAATTAGTAGGTTTTAAAACCTCTTGGAACTCTGAAAGTGCAAAAGCACAAAATACACTGCTTTGTGTATTGCATAGGGAAAAAAAGTTATAAGGAACACGGAAACAGAATGCTGCTTATCTGGCTACATGGTATATTGCTGGCTCATCAGAATCCTGTCAAGCATATCTATGAGGATCTGGTGGAAGCAGGATTTCAGCCTTTAGCTGGTAAGTTCTTTGTGGTGTATGGAGCATATCACAGTGTCCTCTGCTGGAGAGCAGTGCGGTGCTGAGGTCCCTGCTGGTGCAGGGTGACTGTGACAGAGCTGGACACGCTTTTCCTTTCTGGGACTTGTCCCTTGCTGGGGGGTGAGGTTGCTTGAGGAAGAGCATTTAAATGAGACTTGAGATTCCTAAAGGAAGATAAAAATGTGCAAACTTTGCATTTCTTAGTCCTGCAAATATGATTAAAATGTGTTTGGCCATCCTTCACTTACATTAGTCTTGTAAAAACATATCATGTCAAGCAAGTGTTTTCTCCTCTTCCCTTGCAGAGAAGATCAGAGCTGCAAGTAGCTCTGATATGGACCCCAGAAAATGTGCAATTTCATGAATTCATCAAAAAACCCATGACACAGATGATGGAATTACATGCGAGATGGAAAGTGACTTTCAAATACAAATAATAACTTTTTGGGAAACAAAAATCCGTTTTGAAATTGTAGGACTTTTTCTAAGCTAGGAGAACATGCAGAGCTAACCAATGTTTCAGGACTTTCTCATGTGCTTGCTATACAAACATTTAAGGAATTTAAGAGTGAATGGCTGGCTGGTAATTTATGACTATACTGCTAAGCAAACACCACCCCCCTTCAATTTCTACACCTGGCTCAACATTGATACACTAATTCCATATTGGAACTGCAAATTAAGCTATTTTGTGTTTGACGTGAAACATAAATGAGATGTTTTCTACCTGAAAGAAATTAAATTTACAAAGTGAACATTATGTGTATAAACCAACACTTCCAGAAACAGGTTGGCACCTGGCCTCATTTGGGATTCATGTTTTTATAAAGTCTTGGTAAGGATTATAGTGTTCTTGTCTAAGCGGGTTTTTCTCTTGTTTAATTAGTGCTGGGATTAAGAAGTCTTTCTTCTTCGGTATTTGATTTATGCAATGAAAATACACAAAAATTTCATGTCTAAACCCATGTGTGGCTGGCAGCAGAATTTTCCATCATGGTATAACCTTGTATATATACTCAAAAAAGAGTATTTGATACTTAATACTTAATACATCTAGTAATCATTTACCTATTTCTTGTTCATGTCTTGAACTAATATTTGGTAGTGTCTTGTTGAATGTGTTAAAGGGTTTTCTCATTACTGAATATATTTCATAACTGAATGATGTAAACCTTCTATCTTTGTAGCTTTCTCTATAACAAAATAGCAATACTTTTTGTCATGTAAAGGAAGAATTGAATTGCCTTGTCGCTCTCTCTATAGCTAGCATTATTTTGTACTGAATCTTATTGTTTGTCCTAAAAAGATGATGATCTCTGTCTTAGTCTGAAGTCTCACAGCTAACTGCCCTCTTATGTGCAACCTGTTTTGACACAGCTGCAGTGCATCACAGAAATATGAAGAACAGACTGATAAATCCTTAGGTTTTTGGAATTAGTGATCTCAGATCAAAAATTATTAGATCCTGACCCTTTGCATCAAGTTCTGCAACACTAGCTTATAAAATGAGAAAGTTTAACAATTTGATGGACTCAGTACCTCACCTGGTCCAAGTCGCACCCTGGGTGTGAAGGATATCACCCTGTTATTCTTCATTTAAGCATGCTGTTCTAGAATATAATTAAAAAGCATATCAACTACGCTTCGTTGCACAAGCAACTAAAACTATATGTAACAAAAATTAATTTTCACTTCAAAGTAGATATTGGTAACGCTAGGATTAAACAAAGAGATTCAGACAAAAAAAATAATCACATTCTATCCTTTATTCAAAATCGTGCAAAAGATCCCTTAAATAAAAAGTGTTTATTGTAATAAAATAAGTCCTCAAATAGTTTGGAGGTAGAGCAACATTTCAAGTTTTTTCCCCTCCAGATGTTTACTATAAAAGCACATTTACTTTAAAAAAAAAATTTTTTTAGAAAAGAGTGAAAACATGATACACACACGTAGCCTTGCTACATCAAATCCGGAAAGACTGAGAAGAGGTTTAAATTGTACCTTGATAAAACTCCCACACCGGTGAGAAGGAGAATCACTCAGTCAACAACTTTTATTGACTGAACACTGGTATGAGTTTGGCCCTGAAGCATTCGCCCAACTTGCCCTGCAGGTCTCACAGTGGTAGAACCGGAAGAATGGAGCACAGATCGGGGATATTTAGCAGCAACAGCTTGAGATATAGTTTGCTGAAAAGTAATTAAATACATCAAAACACTTAACAGTACAGAAAAAATCCCATTAAAATACCTTTAAGCGAGCTGTACTCTAAGCAGAAAGATTTGGAACAGAGCAAACAAATACACTTCTCAAAAAAAAATAAAAAATGGTTACTTTAGCAGCATGAGTAATTTTTTTCCTTCCTTGTCAGAAATGTACTTCCAAATAATGAAGTACCCTGAGCTTTTATCACCTCAACCTTATTTCAAGGTTGGTTTTTTTGTTGTCTCACATGGACAGTTACCAGTAACTCCAGCTCAAATTCAGGGACCTGATGTAGCACTGCTTGTCCTGGCAGTATCACTGAAGAGAAACTGAACTTTGAGATAGCACAGAGAAAACTCAGATCCTACTTTATGGGTTAAAATATGAAAAAAACCTTCTTCGACTGTTTCATGCAACTCCAGTTAAAACCATTTTTTGCCCAAGTTGATCTAAAAGTGCAGCAGCCGCACAGGCCATTTAGAGCACTGTTTACAGTCTATGTTACTTTTGTACCCTTTTAATGCACTTATTTCAGTTTTCTTCAGGGTAAGTGGGAGACGTAGGACGCAAAAATACAACAAGCAGAAGGCTTGATGATTACATTTTTCCCCCCCAGTAATTTGCTACACTCAGCCTATCAGGCTAATCTGTATCTCTGCCACCTCTGGTTCAGTCATTCTTCCTGCTACACACCACGATGCCTGCCTTTAAACTGTGGTTGCGTGGTGATGACACCAAACATTGCCAACTGACCCTTTCTATGAAGAGGAAGACTCATGGAAGAGCTGGCCAAGAGACAGCCAGGACTACTCTACCTGTGAAATAAATACTACAGAAACAAGACAAATAGATTAATGTGGCAATATCTACTTTCTCTCCTCACCAGTGACTTCTACCCAGCCCAACCACAGTATCGTTTGTTATTTTAAATAGGCCTCAAGTCTAAGACAACTTCAGGATGGTCATTTTTCTTTAAACTACTACCAGATGTGTTGTAATAAAAATACTATAACAAGCATAATTCTGACTTACCTGAGTGACTGGATGATGTTTTTCAACAATGACTGAACTGATGGGTGGAGCAACTCCCATCACAGCTAAACTACCACAAATTCTGGCTTTTTGACCCATATCAGCTCGGCCTGTGATTCGAGCAGTGATTGTTCTTCCTGCTTTCTGTTGAGCAGATGTTATTACTTTCGCCATGGGCTACAAATAAATTAAGTAGTAGTTGGTAAAGAATTCTAAACATAATATTAACAATGCTCTAATACGTCTGCTTAGTTTTATCAGCTACATGCTTAAATGGAACATGAGATGGGGCAGGTAACCCAGTTATGTTAGAGGGGACTGAATATGCTCCAGCTAGCTGCAATCCGGTTTATTCCACCTTTTTCCTAAGTATGAGATAGTGTTTCAGTGAGTGACATCTATCCTGAGGGGAGCAAGGCTAAATTCAGGCAGCACAGATAGTTTAGCTTTGGTCACTGGCTGCATATTCAAGTGACAGCTGAAGGAACTTCCATCACCCTGGAGTTTTTCTAGCAGCAACACAGCAGATACAAAAAAAACTTCCACGCAGTAAAATGCTGCATCTTTCTCTGACAGCTGTTAGCAAAATGTATCAGATGGGAAAAAGAAAGGAGAGTAATGCAGAAGACAGCGGAGAAAAGTAAAAAGGACAGTTTAACAACAGATACAGAAGAGGAAACAAGAGGTATTTCGAAGAGCAGGATGCTAAAGCAAAGCATATTAATTCCATAATGAAATGGTATCCTGTGAAACACCAATTGTTCCTGTTGTGTTATACATTAGCACACATGCATTCTTCTGTTCTTCATTTTGTCACACTTCTCCCTCCCCCCTCCAAAAACAATCTAAAATTGCTCCTAACATAAATGGGTTTCTGTAATATTCACAAGCATTTCCACGCTAGCGTCTTCACATGGCTATGTAAACTCTAAGGCAGTTTCCTCAACTACGTACTTGTGTTGCTCTGAAAAATGTGGAAATAATGATATCCAAACTAATATTTGTTAAAATCATGCCTCAAAAAGCAAGAGAGTTAAATTTAGTACATTACCAGTTTTTGAGTTGATGCCACACCAGATCCTGCAGCTGTGCTAGTGATGATTACTGGAGAATCAGAATCTAGCCTGGTCTGAGAAGTGCTTGCATGACCCAGATGGGTAGAAAACTGTGAATAAAACCAGAATTTAAAAAGAATGAGTAAAACTTTGTAGAAAACACAGTGTTACTTAGTTTTTTGACTATTCTGTTAGTTTTTGGCTCTCCAAATTACCCTTCTAAATTTAATTTTTATCTCTAGTTTTACTGTTGTCTAGCTAATTTTATAATACTTGTCTAAAAACTGTATAAACAGTGTGAAGAACATTTGATACTATTAGAATGAAAAATCAGAGGAGAGGCAAGCACATCGTCTCTGTTCTAACCTGCACACTAGTGTGAAATTGTTTTAGTGGCAACATCTTCAGGATGACTCCTGGGCAGGACCACAACATCCAAGCTACGGGGTAACGATCTGGATAAGCTGACATGACAGGGCAATAAGCTGAGTTCCCTCAGTGTCTATCTGTTACACTCTTAAAAAAGAAGCTTCAAGTCAAGCCAGCTTTTCTTCTTTTCAGATTATTTTAAACACAGGTTTTTTGTAAAAAAAACACAACCTCTTAACAGCTTTTTTCCAGAAAGAACCTTAGAAAGAAAATTCTGCTTACTATAGTGACCTTACCTTCTTTTGTTTACCATGCTTTCACTAAAACAAAAAACAGAGCTTAATGAAACTATAGCAAGTCACGACAGCTATGCCCAGCCACTTCATATACACAATGGAGTCTGAACACACCATACCCACAGGTTTCTTTTTTACACTTAGACTGACTTCAAATTCCTTCAATTCACAGGCTATGGCCTTTATTTTTAAAAAGCTCCAACAAAGTATGTTCATTTTTGCTACTAGCAAGCACAGTTCTGGCTACAGGCTTACCATGTCTTCCATTGGAAGAGCAGCTGCTGGTGGAGGTGGTGGTGAGGGCGGATTGTACTGTGAAGGAGGCAGCCTTCCTGCAACAATGGTACCATTATCATTTCTCCTACTTCCTACATCTATTATTAGAAAAACAAAGCAATAGGATCAGCACATAATCTAGCAAACTCTAAGGGGAAAAAAGACGTAAGTCACAGTACAAATTGGGATTCCTGTGGGATTTCTGTATAATCTAATTCAAAGGATCAACACCTATGTTCTTCATAGGTGTCTGTGTATCTATTTATTTATCTAAGCATTCCTGTATTAGACCCTTCTTTTCAGATGCTTGGAAATAATATTTTCCAAGGGGCTTGTTCCTGTGTTATGCCTCAAAATCCCTGTGGTGCTCCTCACACCCTTGCAGTGCAAAGAAGTGAGGTTCTCTGTGCTGCTTGCCAACACCAAATCCAGTGTGCAAGAGCTGCTCTTATGCTAAGGGCCAAAACCCACTTCAGGTAGAGAGCAGCAAAACACAGAAAGGCCATGCGTACTGGACTTCTGGAAGGGTGTAAGATCCTTAAGGGGGCTCACTGTCGGGAAAATAAAACGTTATTTTAACTTTCCTGAGAATGTACTGCAATTTCAAGGAGCCATAGGTCACGCTCAGCAGCACCCCATTTCCACATACAATGGCTGGACACCGGCCACATCCTGGCCGTAGGGCTGGGACGATCTACAGGCACCCTATAGCCCTCATCTCCCCCCAGCAGCTGGGTAAGAGGAGCTTGCACAAAATCTGTCCAGGGTTCTTTTGTCATCCTGGGGAGGTCAGATGTGCCCACCTAAGCCCTATATCTTTTCCAAACAGTTTCAGCCTTTTCATTCACAATGCAAACTTCCTTAAAGGAAGAAGAGAAAGGTATTCGTATTTACTCTCCTATTTCGGAAGCAGATGATGCCGGCACCAGTTCCGGGACCAGGGAACTTCACTCATTCCAGGGCCCAGAGTGACACCCTGTGGTAGTTGTGTTTTGTTACACCTATATTTTTTCATTTTCCTCTTGAAACAAGCAGGAAACATATAAGGAAGGTAGCTTAAATTGGTGCAATACAGAAAGATTTCAAAGGTGAAAGTAT